TATTTATTTTTTAGTTCTCGGCGGACACAACATCTTTGTTGGTATGTGGTGCTGAGGATCGAACCCGGGCCACAAGCATGCCAGGCGAGCGCGCTACCGCTTGAGCCACATCCCCAGCCCCAGAGTGGTCCTTTTAAAACAGAATTCATGTCACTTTTCTGCTTAACATCTCCAGGGATTCCATTGCAAGGGTTGGGGGGAGAGCATCTGAGATTCCCCCTACCATCTCTGAACAAACTTTTCTTCCTGCCCCAAGGCCATCACACTTGCTCATCATGTTAGTGGTGCCTTCTCTTAACTCAAGACTTTCATTGCTGTGCTCCTCTCCCCATTAATGGTCCAGTTTCAGACCTTAGAATCTCCATGCTGAGGCCTGGAAACCTGGGTATTAAGGAAGCTCCCCAAGTGATAAGTAAGATCCACTTCATCAATTTCTTAAATATTTCCTACCTTCCTCTTTAGGAAGTTCAGCCCGGAGCCAAAAACGGGAGGCCCGCCTGGACAAGGTCCTCTCAGACATGAAGCGACATAAGAAGCTGGAGGAGCAGATTCTTCGTACTGGGAGGGACCTCTTCAGCTTGGACTCAGAGGACCCCAACCCAGCCAGCCCCCCACTCCGGTCATCGGGGAGTAGTCTCTTCCCTCGGCAACGGAAATACTGACTGTTGTTGCTACTGCCTCTAGAATGCAGAGACTGTATCTGAAAGGGCCTGGGCCCTCTTTTCCTAACTTTCCTAACCCAGGATGCTGGGAAACTTGGGAGAAAGAACCCCAAGCTCCCAACACAGCACCTTGCAGTGTAATGCCAGATTCGTGGGACCCCCAATAGACCTCCAGGAGCCGAATCCAATGCAATCACACAAGAGTCTTTATTGCAAGCTCGAGCCTGGACTCACAACCGTTTCCGGCGCAGCGGTCCCAGGGAGTGAGTTCAGTGAGATTTTATAGGTTTTGAGGGGATACTCTATGCGTCACAACATCACACAGCAAATCATTCCATATCACTGGAAAATCAAACAACAGCTCTTAATATTGATTAGCACATTCACTGGCAGGAACAAGTTGGGTAGGGGTGATTGGTTAGTACTTGGGGGGGGGGGGTCCTTTGAACTAATTGGTTTAGGCCACGAGGGGTGTACCTACTAAACTATATGGTTTCCCAACATGTTATCAACCACCATAAACTACTGGGGGGAGGGGGGCTGTTCATCTGGCATCCCAGGTATTTTCCCTGTCTCATGATGACTGGAAGTCCTTAGGGGATTGCTATGGGTC